AGCTCATTTCTTTCTTGGCCTTTACTTTCAATGTGAAGCCTTTTTTTTCTTCCTGTTTGGTTTCAGTGACTGCATACAGTCACTCTTTTGTAAAATCAAAAGCAGATTTATCCCTGATAGGGAATCCTGAAAATTTTCCAGTCCCTTAATATTCTAGGGACATAGTAAAGGTTATATTTAGATGCTGCACTGCATTTCAGAGAAAATGTGATTTCCCTTTAAGGGTTTGCTGCCACATCTCCTACTTACACCAAACACACTTTCAAGTTAATAAAAGCTTTACCTGCCGAGGCAGCAAATCAGGCTATAATTAAAAGGGAGGAAACATTTTACACAAGAAAATGTGTGGTTTGGTTAAATCGTAAATACGAAGAAAAAAAGAAGGCATGAAAGCTGATAACAAGATATAATTCGCATTCGTGGTTTTTATTTATTGAACAAGCTGTTAGAAGAAAACTTGTTTTAACTATTAACTTACCATATTCTAATATGTCTTTAATGTCTCACATAGCTACCGCATTAGAGCCTGTAAAAATAACTTTAAATTCCAATGTCAAGTGGAGCATGAAGATTTGGTTTCATTTTCAAAACTGCTTTGCTGAGAAATATACCCTAAAAAGCAATTCTCATTTTACTTCCTTACAGCTCCAACAGCTGCGGGACGAATTATAAACGTATTTAACCCAATCTGAAAGTCAGAATTTTGATCTCTGAAGAAAGTATTTTTGAAGAGTCTTGCACATGCCAGAAAAAGGATTTAGAACTTTGATAAGGCTTCAGAATGTAAGAAGCACTGTGAAATTTTAACAAAGAACTACCTTCTTTTTTTTTCTTCCAAGAATGCTTCAGATCTTTATTATACGATTTAATACTCTATTATATATGGATGAGTAGTATTTTATTCTTGAATTTTTCATCCTTCTGGGTACATCATATTACAACAGACAAAAAGATATTTTATACAAACAGATTCAAATAAGCGTTTATTTGTTCTCACGCAAACGTTACAAAAATACATATATATCAGCATATATATTCATGTTTTCTGAATATTCATTCAGAATGATCATGCTTTCAAACATTGTATATCTTTCCGAAGCTGCAGACAGCTCTTGGAGGAGTGGCTGGTTAATAAGGACCCAGAGTCATGGCGATTTTTCAAAGCGTGTCCCAGGGGAGCATCACAAATCTCTAGGAAAGGATGGAAATGGTTTACAGTGCCTTCTGTACGGACTGGTGGCCTTTAGGATGCCAATATCGGCAGCCTTAAGATAGGGCTAATGCCATGTGCTTATCTGCACTTACAGTGCTGTGTCATTCATCATTGCCATCTTCTTTGGAAAAAAGTCACAACATGATGTGTCAGTATGTGTTTCTCTGCAGCTATGATAATTTCGGTATTTGCACTAGGGGAAAATAGACAATTCTTATAATGAAAAATGTCTCATGTGCACATGTGCTATCTCACTGCTTTTCTCTGTTTACTTTATTAAAAGATTTTTAATGAAACTCGTAAGCACCATGTTCTGCCTAAATAATATCTTAGGTTATTATGCTTCTCAATATATACATTAGAAATTAAATGTTCCTTACAAAGTGATTGCAATACATTCAGAGATCCTTCAAACTGAAATATAGAAAATATGTAGCAAATATGTGTGCACCATATAAATACATCTATAGATTTGTTTCTGCTCTCTAATTGTTTACTATCATAATGTCCCCATTCCTAAGCTCTTCTGTTCCGTTAGTCTCATCTAATTCCATTTTAAATTTAACACTTTAAGTCAACACATATACTAGTATATTTATTAATCAATCAACTAATAAATACTTCTTAAAAAATTATGAGGAGAGCTACCAAAAATCTAGAAAACATGTTGTAAACTCTCAAGAAGATAATAGCCTAACTGAAAAATATGACCATCAGAAAATGATTGGAGGGAGCGGTGGTTCATGCCTATAATCCCAGGACTTTGGGAGGTGAGGGTGGGTGGATCGCCTATGGTGAGGAGTTCGAAACCAGCCTGGTCAAATGGTGAAACCCTGTCTCTATTAAAAATGCAAAAAATTAGTAAGGCATGTTGGCAGGTGCCTGTAATTCCAGCTACTCGGGAGGCTGAGGCAGGAGAATTGCTTAAACCCAGGAGGCGGATGTTGCAGTGAAGTGAGATTATGCCATTGCACTCCAACCTGGGCAACAAGAACAAGATTCCATCTCAAAAAAAAAAGAAAGAAAGAAAGAAAAGAGAAAATGGTAAAATCTACATATTTTAAAAATGTATTTATATCAGTTTATTTACCAAAAAATATTTGAGCCATTTGAGTAAACACTTAAAAAGGATTTGTTTTTATTTTTTAGCAAATTATGGAGTCGTAGGAAAACAAAGGTAAGAAGTCAGATAATACAGATTAGAAAGCTCACATAGTTACTAGACATGAACCACAGAGTCAGCACTGAAGAAAACATGATCAGTTACAAGATGCAGAGTGTCCAAAAGAGCAGGCTGGGTACAAACTTGAGGGGTCTTTTGTTATCACCAGAACTAAGAGAAACTTCCCCTATTGATTCTTACCGGGGGATACAATATGGCTTACTAAGCTACAACCTCAACAACAGTCTTTTTTTTAACTCCCTTAATCTGAGATACAACAGTCTTTTAATAATATAATATTGAGTTTCATTTTGCTATACAATGTTCTTAAAAATAATGGCAATGACAGAGAGTAAATAATTGAGAGCTGCATTGGAGAATTTACATAGAGAATATTGATAGCCAGTGTATTAGTCAGGGTAATCCATGCCAGCTGCTGTAACAACCAACCATAGAAATCTCAGTCTTTCAACACAAGAAAGTCAGTGAAATGTAGATTGTGTGTTTCTCCTCAGCAGCTCTGCGTCTACAAGTGACCTACCCTACCTATCCCTACTTGCATGCATGCGTGGCCTGCGAGAGCCCTACAGAAGACGAAGAGGCAGGGCATGGAGGAAGGTACATTGGCCTTAGCTACGTTGGCTCAGAATGAACATAGTCAGCTCTCCTCACATGCCATTGGCCAGAGTGTGAGGATATGGCCACACCTCACTGCAAGGGAAGCTGGGAAATATATCATCCGTGTGCCCTGGAAAAAGAAAATAAAATGAGATTTGGTGAATGTTTAACATTGCCTCCGCCACAACTAACAATGCCATACTGAGGAGATTAGATGTGATGCACTAGCCTGGGGTTCTTAAAGGGTACTGTCATATGAACTAATGACATGAGAACAAAATATTAAAACTTCTATGCATTGTTAATTTTAATCCAACAACAACAAATAACAAATATTTATATATATAAAACAAATAAATATATATATATGTATATTTAAGAACTATAGGCCGGGCACAATGGTTCATGGTAATCCCAGAGGATGAGGCAAGTGGATCGCCTGACATCAGGAATTTGAAACCAGCCTGGACAACATGATGAAACCCCGCCTCTACTAAAAATACAAAAAAGTTAGCCAGGCATGGTGGCAGGTGCCTGTAATCCCAGCTACTCAGGAGGCTGAGGCAGGAGAATCGCTTGAACCCAGAAGGCGGAGGTTGCAGTGAGCCAAGATCGTGCCATTGCACTCCAACCTGGGAAAGAAGACCGAAGCTCCATCTCAAAAAAAAAAAAAACGATATTTATACAGACCCAAGTAAGAAGGCCTCATGTCATGATATGCAAGACAAAAGAGTGTAAGTTCTATGACTTAAAGGAGTCATGAGTGGTATCCTTACTTGACCGTGAGGTTTCAATAAATTGTCAGGGGTTGCAGTTTCTGTGCATCCAGTTAGGGGGATTTACCGGTTATATTATCTAGTGTTAATGAAAATAAGTCTGATGAAAGTGGATACCTGGCTTGTTTTGGTTTTTGTTTTTGATGGAGTTTTACCTAGGCTGGAGTACTCGGGTCACTGCCCCCTCCACCTCCCAGGTTCAAGCGATTCTTCTGCCTCAGCCTCCCGAGTAACTTGGATTACAGGCACCTGTCACCATGCCAGGCTGATTTTTCGTATTTTTAGTAGAGACGGGGTTTCACCATCTTGTCCAGGCTGGTCTCAAACTCCTGACCTCAGGTGATCCACACCCCCTTAGCTTTCCAAAGTGCTGGGATTACAGGTGTGAGCTATCATGCCCAGCCAATATCTGGCTTTAAAAGAGTCCTGCAAAAACTCTACAGACAGATCATGCTAAAACATTAACATGCCAGTGAACTAGGACAAAATTCTGTTCTCCAGCTTTATTATAAGATAGAAACAACGATCTAATCAGACAAAATCAGTCCAAAAATAAGGTAATAATCAAGACAGTTATTTGAAAAAATTGATTTATATCCACTATCATTAATAATGAACCTAATCCTAAATGTACATTAAACTCTAAGATATTAACTATTAATGGTATGAAGCCACAATAAGAATTTAATACTACTATCCAAAACATGAAGACAAACCTCTACAAATACATTTTTTCAGAAATATTCAATCCAATACTTGACAAAATTTTACTCAACTTGACTATTCATAAGTTCCAAATGGGAAATTCACAATCTCCACTGAGAAAACAAGGGTTTTATTACAACAGGTTTTTCCTACTGTAAGAAAAACCACTAAGATAATATTCATTCATTCATTCAGGAAGTAGTCACTGAGTGCCAACTGAGGGCGAGGCATTGTTCTAGACATCAGAGATTTAGGGATGCACAGAATAGGCAAGACTGACTGTCCTCCTGGAGCTGACATTCTGGGGCAGTGGTTCTCAGCTGGGGGCGATTTTGTCGCCTAGGGGACATTTGGCAACATCTGGAGACATGATGTTTGCCTTTCACAGCTGGCGCAGATCCTACTGCCAGATGCCCAGGCTCCTGCCCTACTGATGGTCTCTGGGTGGTGTTGCTGACACCACGTGTTCACACACTGCAGTAGGCTAAAGACAACTAATCAATAGATTGGCTTTGGAGAAAAGGAATGAATGAGAAACTGAAATTTTTATTTGGTTTTTAAGAAACAATAAAAATGTCAAAGCGTTTGCATCAACTTAGCGGCTTATTCTGCAGTTAAGGACAGGCTATGATATTCTGGATGTCTCAATGCGCAAGAATGCATATCACAGACTTGAAAGTTTCTGCAGAAATCTTGGGATCAAGGAACATTTCATGAGATTATTTAGATCTTGTCCCTTGCTCCTCTGGACGTGCTGTGTTTCTTAACTCTTCTCTGTCACCATCTTTAATGTGCTTGAGATGTACATTTTACAGCTGAAAAGGAGAAAAGGAAAGAAAGTGTGAATAGTCCCATTTGGTAGGCTACACCGAACTTTGGAAATACTATAATGGACTTTAAAGTACTGACTGAATTCATTTGACATACACGATCTGTTCCATAAATGTGTTTCCAGAAAAAATATTTTTTGCAACCCCAAACATTGTGCTGTCGCTAATTTTCATAAGTGTACTTTATGACAACACAGACCCCTCTCTCTGAGATGTGGAAGTGTTACCCAACACCCATAAAACAGACTTTTTAATCTTTTTCTTTCTGTTATCTTGGTGTCCCCCCAACCTCCCAGCATTTTAAGCAATTGACACAACTTTTTGTCTTCAGCAAATATTTGTGTTCATTGGATTATAAGCATTATTAAGAAATACAAAAACAAAATATTGGTGTGTGGGTTTTCTTTTTAAAAGCACTCATCTTTTAAAAATAGATAATGAGCAGGGCACAATGACTCATGTTTGTAAACCCAGCACTTCGGAGAGGCTGAGGAGGGAGAATAACCTAAGGCCAGGAGTTCAAGACCAGCCTGACCAACATGGTGAAACCCCTTCTCTACAAAAAATACAAAAGTTAACCAGGTATGCTGTAATCCCAGCTACTCAGGAGGCTGATGTACAAGAATTGCTTGAAGCTGGGAGGTAGAGGTTGCAGTGAGCCAATATCACAGCACTGCACTCGAGCCTGGGTGACAAACTGAGACTGTCTCAAACACACACACACACACACACACACACACACACACATCGAAAACAACAAATAAAAATACATAATAAAATATGTAGAATAAAATTATATGAACCTGAGGGCTACTCCAACACAATCTAATTAAGGGAAAAGGAGAAGGCAGAGATGAAATAAGACTGGCCATGAGTTGGTAATTGTGGAAGTCCAGCTCTACATACATGGAGACTCATCATTTTAGTCTCTCTAATTTTATATATATTTGAATTTTTCATAAGAAAAAGCTAAAAAAAAAAGACAAGTATTATGGTTTCATTACCTCAACTAATAGTACAGTACAGTCACTCCTTTCATTTGGATTAATATATTTTTGTGAGGTACCTTTTTGAGCTGTGATAGTCATCAAAAACTAATGTATAAATTAACTCAGTATAATACCAGATCTTGTGTCTCATAAAACCTAAATCAGCATTGTCCAAGTCAATGAAGCCAATTTAATCACATAGATCTCACTAAAATATTGTTTTAGAACAAAACATTCATTGCATCTCTAATAATAAAAACACAATTTTAATTTGTAAATACTAGTTCATCTCTATATCATCATTTAAATTCTTACTATGTGGTTTTTAACACTTACTTGTAAATGTGTAGATTTAAGAAATAACATACATAAATGGGGAGGGTTACATACTTTTAAAAGTTTTCAGCATAGAGGGCATAGGCCAATGTGTGAGAGCATACTTTACTTCAAGCTCTATCCTATTTGTCCCTGTGTCTCCAGTGTGTGGTACCATGCCTGGCACATATTTCACACTCGATACAGTTTGTTAAATGAGGAGAAAAAAGCCACTTTGGAGTAGCATAGAATAGGAATTTTAGAAGTGTAAAAATAAACTGAACCCCTTCTCCTCATTTTCCAACAGGGAGACAGAGGCTTAGGAAGGTTAAATCACAGAGCTAATGGATGTATGGTGAAAGAAATGTTTTAGGAAGATTGATCTGACATAGATCTATGGGATGCTTCAGAGGAGTGAAAGACTGGAAGCAAAGGCACGTGTTAAGAGATGGCTGCAATCATCACAGTGCGAGGTAATGGGAGCTGCATTGGGAGGATGGGAAGGGAATGAGATGCAGAGGAGGATCTGAAAGACACACAAAATGCTCCTCTGGGTACTGCTTTCTCACTGTCAGTAAGATTTCATTCTAACCTATTTCTACACATGCTGGTATCAATCATGATATCCAGATATTTTTACCATGGCCCCAAACTGCACAAAAAGACATAATTAGCAGTTCTTTTGACTCATCTAGGGCCTCTGAGAGTGATTCATACCCTCCGCTACGCAATTATCCACCATATATATAGTTCAACCTCTGTCTATTCCAAGCAATGGTTCTTTATAATATCCATTCATATGCTTTTCACTTAATTCCTATGGGAGTCCAAACTCTTTAATCTTTTGAGATTCCCCCATATTTTTTCTCCTCCACCTAAGATAATCAATTTCAATGCACATTATTCTGGAATAGAACAGTAAACAATCTTTCAGAATCAGATAGCAATTTTTGTTTTTCTCCCCAACACATGCTAAGAGCAAAGATGTGTCTGAGTTAATAATTTCTTTTAAAATGGAAATACAAAGGAGTAAATATCTTCAGTAAGAAAAACTAGTTGACCTCCTTTGTTCAAGAGCAGTAACCCAGAGGGAATCGAAATTTTTGTTGTCAGTAAAAAGGAAAATAATTTGGAGAAGCCTGTGGATAGTGGCTAAGAAAGGCCAGGATACGTCTGGGCAAGCAGAAGAAATACACTGGCAGAGCATCTGAGATTCAGAAGAGGAGCTCAGCCTCAAGGTGGCTGGGGACGCTGGAAGGGAAGCACAAATACCCCAGTGACAAATGTGCAGAGGGACAAGGGGGCTGACAACTGTTTCATAGCCTGGAGATTATTGGGTGGCCCCTGCCTGGCTCCCAGGACACTCCAAGCCAATCCCCATAGCTATCCCTTCTACTCCAAGCCTGCCAGCACACACTGTATGCAGCCTCCCCCAGGCTCGCATGCTGCCTCAGACCCCAGCAAGTTCCAAATTAAGTCTTCCCTCTTCCCTAGATGCTTTTCTGCCTGTGCCAGCCCACCACACCCTTGCCCCTCTGTACAGTACAATAGAGACAATTGTTTTGAAATTCAAGCCTAGCTTCTCCAGCGAAAATAAAGCTTCTTGAAAGCAGTTTTTCTGACATACCACTTCTGTTCTTCCTTCAGAAAAAAAGAGCAGGAGTAAGTGAGTTAAGAATGATACTTTGAAACAATCAGTATTTCCATTCTGTTTTTGTCCAGCTATTTAAAACAGTATACATTGTATAGCTTTAGAAGCAGCTTATTTGGAGATTGGTTTATAAACTGCATGGTTGAAAATACATCCCAGCCCAGGACTTTACAGCTGGTGATGAAGAAATGAACAAAGCTGGAGCCCAAAAAGACCAATATAGTCAATGTGTTTAGACAAATGTCAGCAGCTGCCAAGGAAGATTTCATACTTAGAATGGTTATTCGACTAGAGATTGGTTCTATTATAAGAATTTGTTTCCTCTACATATGAAAAGTTTGAATACATTAAATTACAAGTGAGAGTTCTAGAGGCCTGGGCACATAATGAAAATTAAAAAGAAAACTAATTACACTGTTTTCCAAGTGGGTTCAAAGATTTTCAGCAAAAGAAAATAAAAAGCTTTTGTTCTGAAAATAAAGTACACCAAAGGAGTAATATACTTCTGTATTTTCGATGCCCAGAGCATAGAAATAGAAACCCCAGAGTTTCATTTGTGCCAATTATTTGTTCGCTTATATACTCATTCGTTGAATGTCTATTATGTGCTGGACATTGTGCTAGGTGCTACAGAAACAAGGAAAAGGAAGACATCTTGCCTAGAAGGATATCGAATTGTGGAAGAAATACAATGCTCTTAAATATGCCACGTTTTAATAGAAATCTAAACTTACCTTGGGCTTGAGGCAATAACTGAGTAATAGATCCCAGATTTCATTAAATACCTAGAGCAACTGTGTGAATTAGGTAGTTAGAAGTAGACAAGTAAAGACCGTGGTTTCTGGAAAGCAAGAATAAGCTACAAAGTAAGACATCCAGGGTGTCCAAACATATCCTAAAAGTCCTGTAATCACCAGGGGACAGAAACAAGCTAGATGTCAATAGTCCAGAAAAGCAGGACATGTGCCAAGAGCTACCCGAGTTAGCAGAGGTGAAAAACAGACCAGAGGTTGACAAAGTCAGGCTAGATACGAAAAAGCAGAAAAGTCTCAGGTTAAGATGGGCTAGTGATCTGAAATCATGGACATTCGGTCAAGCTCATTTGTGTTCACAGAACAGAAGTAAACCAAACCTTGACCACAGTAAACATTCATCTGTCATGAGCCTACCAGGTGCTAGGCATTTGGCTTCACTTTACATAAAATATCTCATTTAGCTCCCCCACCCCAAACTATAAGAGGGTTGTTTACAGATGAGAAAATTGAGACTCAAAGAGATTAAATACCTTACCCCAAATTGCAGTCATCATCTCCCAAATCGTGAATCATTTACAAATGAGAAAATTGAGACTCAGAGAGATTAAATAATTTCCCCCAAACCACAATGATCATCCTGGCAGAGCTAGGACTCAAACCTTGAGGTCTGGCTCACAAGTCTGTGAAGTGAGGCTCATCTCTCTACTTCCTGCCTGGGAAGGCACACTGAAAGTGAGTCCCGCAACTCAGGGTAAAGTGAGAAAGCTTTAACTGCAGATTAATTTGGACAAGCAGGCTAAGAGAAAAGGAGCAAGGATTAAGGGCAGATAATAACAAAGTGATCCACGGAACTTCCATTGAATGATCAAATTAGATTTCGTGTGACAGGCTTTTGTCTCTTGAAGTTTTGTTTTGTGCAAACCTGCAAGACAGCAGTGATTATGTCATGAGGACTCTTGGCCCTTTGATGTCGGCTCCGTTACTGCATGCCCAACTAAAACTTCTAATAGCTGGGGACATTTCAGAGGCTGAACAAAGAGTTTATTAGAGTTACTCGGGAAAAGGGCAGACCAAAGAATGGAGGATTGGAGGCTGTTAAATAAAACAAAGTAGTCCGCCTCAGCTACACCACTTAACACCAATGGAAGAGCCAGGACCGAGGTATCCTTCTAAGCCTGCACTCCGGAAAACCTCTGGGTCCCCAGTGATAAGAGACACGGGGCTGGCAGGCTGCTGTCTCCGACATCAGTTTAGGGTAGGATAAGAACTACCATCACTTTGTTGAAACTGAACTTAAATTCAATATTCAGCCAATAGTGAGTGCCTGAAATAAAGAGAATGGCTTTGTCTGAGAATCCTTTTAGCAGAAATGAAAGAAAAGTCAAGACTATAAGCATACGAAGACATGAACAACCCCGAGGCTACAGAGACTATTTCAAAACACGTTTGCCGGTTTCACAAGATGAAAAATGGAAAGGAGAAATCGGCCCACACAATCGAGGGCACTATCTTGCTTTGGACTAGTAGGTCATGTTACACTGTTTTGATACTCTTCCAGTCATCCCATCCCCACAGCCTCAGAAGGCGGGCCCCGGAACCGAAAGCCACTACCTGCGGCTCCGAGCTTCGCCTCAGCAGCCGCACCCACGGCGCACGCCCGGTAGGCGGGGCGGAAGCTTGTTGGATCTCGCGAGAGTTCGCAGGCCCTAGGCAGTGGCGGTGAGTGACAGGCGTCGCGTAGCTGCGCTTCCGCAAAGATGGCGGCGGCTGTAGGGAGCGGCGCTCGGCTGGCGGCCTGGGGCGGAAGACTGCGGCGGGGGCTCGCTGCCAGCCGACGGGCTGTGCCGAGTCGCGGCTCTTTGGCAGCCGCAGTGGCCGGTGCGGCCCTTGCAGGAGCAGGAGCCGCCTGGCACCACAGCCGCGTGAATGTCGCGGCGCGAGAGGGCAGCTTCACCGTCTCACCACAGGTACGGAACGAACTCTTTCTGTGAGCCGCAGCCAAGCTCCTCCCTCCCCTGACGCCCCTTGACTAGGAGTGGTTTGGTACTGGGCGGCTCTGGCTGTTTCCTGGAGCCGGAGGTAGGGGTGTCGCTGCAAGTCGGGGCGCCTTGCAGCTGGTGGGACTCGCTCCTTCCTGGACTGTCTCCTTCCTGGACTGTCTCCTTCCTGGACTGTCCCCTTCCCCAAGCCCCCGAAGACGTTCGAGGCTGGTGACTGGAGATTTTGCCTCCCTTGGGAGAAACCCGCGGTGCGGATGACAAACTGGCCGCACTAATTTAGTAGTGACGAGTGTGGGTGTGTCTTAATTCAAGGCTCCTAATTCAGAATCTCTCAGCACCTCGCCCCTTCCTCCCTCTCTGGTCAGTGAAGTGGCATTCACATCCGAAGGTGGTGTGCGTCCAGTTACCCCTCTGGGATATACTTTTGTTAACCTTTGTAACTAAAAGTTTTACTACCTCTTCTTTGTATAGCGTGGTGAAGTTCTGTAGATGGCTTTTTTTTTTTTTTTTTTTTTTTTTTTTTTTTTTTGAGACAGTCTCGCTCTGCCGCCAAGGCTAGCGTGCAGTGGTGCAATCTTCAGCTCACGGCAACCTCTGCCTCCTGGGTTCAAGCAGTTCTCCTGCCTCAGCCTCCCGAGTAGCTGGGGACTACAGGCGTGCGCCACCATGCCCAGCTAATTTTTGTATTTTAGTAGAGACAGGGTTTCACTGTGTTGGCCAGATGGTCTGGATCTCTTGACCTCGTGATCTACCCGCCTCGGCCTCCCAGAGTGCTGGGATTACAAGCCACTGTGTCCGGCCCAGTTTGCTTTTTCAAGTCACGAAAGTGTCAGCCATAAAAATTAACCTGTTGATGATTTCCAGATTTTATTAGCAACTTTAAAGAACACTATTTCACGATTATTAGCCTTACTACTTTAGTGGACCATATGTTCTAAGCAAAAATTGATCCTAAAACTTCCTTCTATTAAGTCGTCCTGGCGCCGTGGCTGTAATCCCAGGGCTTTGGGAGGCCTAGGTGGGTGAATCACCTGAGGTCAGGAGTTCGAGACCAACCTCGCCAACTGGTGAAACCCGGTCTCTACTAAAAATATAAAAAATTAGCTGGGCGTGGTGGCGGGCGCCTGTAATCACAGCTACTCGGGAGGCTGAGGCAGTAGAACCACTTTAACCCGGGAGGTGGAGGTTGCAGTGAGCCAAGATCTAGCCATTATACTCCAGCCTGGGCGACAAGAGCAAACGCGATCTCAAAAAAAAAAGGTAAGAGTCAAGTTCCCTAGTTCAAGATAAATAATGTTGTCATGTAACACATTTGAAAATAGGAAAGAGTACTACTTTAAAATTTTTATAAGCAATGTTTTTACATATGAACTTTTTTGAAAATTGAAAGTATTATTTTCTTTGTTAGATTTACATTATGTTTTTCTAACAAAAACTCAGGGAACATTCAGATACAGTAAAAAAGAGGAAAGAAGTCCTTGTGAATTAAAATTAAGTATTGGCAAGTGATATTCCTTATTTGTATTAATAAATAACATAAGTAATATTATATTAATGTAATGTAAACATATATAATGAAAAGATATATCATCTAGTGTTTTTATAGCATTTTTGTGAATCTTATTGCCAAGCAGTTTAGTGTATTCATCATCATTTTCTCTCTCCCCTTAATTCATCCTGTTTAAGACCCTTAGGCTAATCTTCTCCAGAGAAGTGCTTTAACCACACAATGTAACCTTCTTTAGAAACCTTAGTGTCTCATTTTGCCAGAGTAAAATCCACATTTTAAAACTTTGTCATTCAGAGCCCTTTATAGTCACACTCTGACCTACTGCTGCTACTCAGGCACCTTCCCACTAAAGTGATTCACTCACTATTCTTGGAACAAGCCTTAAATACCACTCACCCCCCTGCAGCATTTGTAGATTCTGATTTTACTTACCCATCTCATTGGTTTTTTTTCTGGCCCACTTCTAGTCTTTCTCCTTTGAAATCTGACTTGACTCTAAAAACTTCACACTAGTGTAGTTATTTTGGATTCTCTTCCCAAGGCTCGGCTCTCCTTCCCTGCAGCTTTGTAACTTTAATCTCCTTCCCTGCAGGTTGTAAGTTTAAGCTTTGTAATGTTAATCTTTGTAACTTCTACCATTTTATTATCAATTGTTTTATAAGGTCTGTTGGCACAGCATTTGCCTCATCTGCTGTTGGACCGAGACAGTGGTTCTCGTCCTTTTGCCACCACGGTGGACGTGTCTTTCAGCATCAGTGTCTGAATACAGGAAGGATTGAAAGGAACCTATAGCTTGAAAACTTTGCCTTCACCTCAGTGATTTTGATACATTTCCCTAAGAGGTGGGGCTGTTAATCCTCCTCTGCCACTACTTTGGGGAGGTGTACATAGTTGAGCTAGATATATACCAGAATTTTGGCTCGTGATGAATAATCTCATCACAATACACTTTCTTATGCACCAGTACAGTTATCTTACTTAGTATTCCAAGTTGGTAAAATCTTCCTGATGTGGCCCTGTAATAATAGTGTTATGTTCTTCATTTCAGTCATTACACTAAGTGCTTTTTCCAATAAAAATATGAATTTGTATTAATGGAGTCCTACACTTTTCCACTTCCCACTGTGACCATCAGCTTGCATTTGTGAGGGTCAAGCAGGAATTAAGGGTAGAGTGTCATGTCATAAAACAATAGATAAATTGGAAACCTCCTTTTTTCTTTACTTTCTTCCTTCTCTCCATGGGTCACACCAGCCTTCTAGTCAATTTTGATGAGACAACCTGGATACCCTGGTTGCCGGTGAAGGACTCACAGGCTTATTATGGGTTTTTTCAGTGGGAGCCTCTGAACACTGCTGCTTCTAGTTGACCATCTTGGCCCTGCCGTAAGGATTTTCATGTTTGCATTATATGCAGTGCCGATGATATATGGGCATTTGATCTGATCCAATTCATCCCTTTTGTTTCTGCAATTATTATCCTCAAGGAACTTAAAAACTCAATAAAAGTGAGCTTTTTAGTATTGTTCCTCTAGCACTGAACCAAGAGCTTGGCATTTAGAAGGTGTTCAAAATGTTAGTTGGATAAACATTCCATAGTTTGAAAATAGTTTGACCTACTCCCCACTGGAGATTTTGCCTGCCATTATTTACTATTTGCTTTGTATAAAATTCCTGATAATTTGGTATAGCAATTGAGGTTTAGGATATTTGAAAATAAGGTTATAAGACATTGTAACCTTAATAAAATATAAAATCATATTTTATATTTTTAAGATGAGGTCAGTGTGATGGTTAATATTATGTGTCAACTTGGCTAGGCTATAGTGCCCAGCTATATGATCAGTGACCAGTCAAGATGTAACTTTGAGAGTATTTTTTAAATGTGATTAACATTTTAACCACTAAACTGAGTAAAGCAGGTAGCCCTTCATAATATGGGTAGGTCCCATCCAATCAGTGGAAGGCTTTAAAAGCAAAGACAGAGATTTCCTAAAGAAGAAAGAATTTGGCCTCTAGACTGCATCATAGAAACCAACCTCCCTGCAGATTTTAGACTCAAGACTGCAGTGTTAACTCTTACCCAAATCCTAGCCTGCTAGCCTGCCCCATGGATTTTGGATTTGCCAACCCCTGCATTTGAACCACTTCCTTAAGTATATCTCTTTCTCCTTCTCTCTCCCTCTCCCTGCTTGGATGTGTGTGTGTGTGTGTGTGTGTGTGTGTGTGTGTGTATGTCTTGTTCTGAGGTGAGGGAGAGATATATATACATATCTTCTCTTGGTTCTCTTTGGAGAACACTGACTGATATAGTCGTTGGTTCTGGGAAGTGGTGTGCTGCTGTGACAGACACCTAAAAATGTGGAAATAGGTTTGGAATTGGGTTTATGGTAATGGGTGGTAACTGAAAGTCGCATTTATTAGTGATGAAATTGAATTATTTAGCAAAGGCAGTTTCTAAGCCAAGTGTTAAAGGTGTGGCCTTAGTTTTCCTTGCTGCACATAGTGAAGTGTGAGTGGTGAGATAAAGAAGGAATTGTTAACCAAAAAGGAACCAGAACTTAAAGGTTTGACAAATTCTTGGCCTATCCATCTTGCAAAAAATGAGAACGTATGCTCTGCAGATAACACAGAAGACTGTGTTTGAGCACCTGTTTGCTGAAGAGATGTAGTGTGACTCATGGATCCAGTCACCCATCTCAGAAATGCTGAAAGGGATAGAGAAGGGATGAAATGAAAGAAGGCTGTGGGACTTCTGGGAGTCCACAGGCTGTTAGTCTGTTGCCTTTCAAGTAAAGGGAAGAGTGACCCTAAGGTTGGGGTCACTACCTGGTGGGCCCAGAGGATGAGCATCAGATTCAGACTGTCTGACTTTACTATGGTGTGAAAACAATACACATTCAGTAGAAACCATACTTCAGATTTTGAATTTTGATCATTTCCTGGCTAGCAATATGTGATGTGATACTGTTTTCTCAATGCTGAGTAGCAGTAGTGAGCTGCATCTTCCAGTCAGACACACAGTCATGAGGATAAACATCAATATTCTACAGTGTACTGTGTTACCCAACTGTAGGCTTAATGTTAAGTGTTCTGTGCATGTTCAGGGTAGCCTAGGCTAAGCTATGGTAAGATGTATGGTAGGTTAGATGGATTAAATGCATTTTCTACTTAACAGTATTTTCAATTTGTGATGGATTTATCAGGACTTAACCTCATCGTAAGTCAAAGAACACC